GCCTGAGCTTTGACCAGTTGGACTTGCAGAGGACACAAGGGAACTCACCTACTCATCTCTAATGAAATGCTTTTTTTTTCCAAAGGCTTTTCTAAAACTGTGTTGTAGTTGGTGACTATTTTAAAGTAGCCTTATTCGTTAAGGTTCATTATGGTTATGCTTCATTATACCATTATAGATATAGGAGAATCAGCAAATACAGAGCATCCTTGATTTAATTAGTCCCTAAGATATTTTACCTTATACATTATGCAATGTTGTAATCTATACAATGATGTAATTTACAAAAGTACATAATACTTCAAGAGCAGGATTTAGACACTGGCACACTGGGTATGTAGAATTCTCTTTCACTGAATCATATGTGTAAATTCATGCAATTACCACCACAATCAAGTTTCAACTCTGTTCCATCAGAGGGAGGCAATAAAAGGCAACCTAACAGGAATGAAGTATTATTAAGTGGTACCATGGTTTTTTACATTTGTTTGGTTTGTGGTGTACACACATGCATGGTTTCACATATGTGTCAGGGGTGTGATTTCTTTTCTGTTTTATGTGTAGAGTCAGGTGAGATATCCACCATCCACATTTTGAATATCAACTGATGTTGTCATTGTAAGTGTCTTATTTATATGACCATAGTGTTTAGCTTATATGGGTGTAGCCTCCCCATCACATATAAAAGACACATTTTCATTGCAGCTGTCCTGATCCACAGGAGCTTATAACCTTCCTGCCCCATCTTTCAATATATTCCCTAAGCCTTTTATATGGGGGTTGTGTTGTAGATGTATTCATTGGGAATGAACCCAGTCAACTATTCTCAGCAGTTTGACCAGTTGTGCATTTCTGTAATAGTCTCGCTCAGCTGCGAAAAGAATCTCCTTTGATGAAGTTGAGACATAATATACTCATCTATGCATATAAATATAAGTATTTAGAATGTACTTAGAAAGTGTCTAGGCAGTGACAGTAGTGAGCTCCCCTCTAGTGCCCATGGTCTCACTATATTCTAACATTTGTTTGTTTGTTATCAGGAAACACAAATGCAAGCATAAACAATACAAGAGTTGGAAGAGAGAATTTCAGGCATTGAAGATAATCTAGAGGAAATAGATTCATCACTCAAAGAAAATTTTAAATCCAAGAAATGCTTAACACAAAACATGCAGGAAATATGGGATACCATGTAAAGACCGAAACAAAGAATAATAGGGATACAAGAAGTTGAAGAAGTCCAACTCAAAGGCACAGAAAATAGATTCAACAAAATCATGGAAGAAAACTTTCCCAAACTAAAGAAGGACATGCCTTTGAAAACACAAGAGGCTTACAGAGAACCAAATAGACTGGACCAAAAATTTCATTTCACCTCTAAAAAGACACAGGCTGACAGGTAGGATATGAAAACAGAATCCATCCTTTTGCTGGATACATGAAAAACACCTCAAACTCACAGACAGACATTACCTCAGAATAAGTGTTGGGAAAAAATTCCAATCAATTTGACCTAAGAAACAACCTGGTATAGCTATCCTAATAGCTATCAAAATAGTCTTCAAACTAAAATCAATCAAAAAAGATAAAGAAGGGCATTTCATATTGAACACAAGAAAAATCCATCAAAAGGAAATCTCAATTCTGATCATTTATGCCACAAACACAATGGCTCCTGCATTTGTAAAAGAAACATAACTAACATTAAATCACGAATAAAGCCCCACAAACTAATAGTGGGAGACTTCAATACCCCATTCTCACTACAAAAACTTGTGGTAGTAACCAACCAATATCTGATTTGATTTAAGGCCCACTCCATGAGATGGAACCTATACCTGACACTGTGTGGCTGACCAAGAACCAGAGATTATATAGTCCAGGAACTCAGAGTAAAGCCAAGTTCTAATGTAAGCAATAAATGACTCTTAATGAGCTCCTGTCATATACATAAATCAGTGCCTTGTTTAGCCATCATCAGACAAGCTTCTTCCTGCAGCAGATGGAAATAAATATAGAGGTCCACAGCTAGACATTTCAGAGAGCAAGAGATGTTGGAACACCCTAAATGGGATGTCTTCATCAAGTTCTTCTCCTCAATAATTAGGGAACCCTGTAGAAGAGGAGGCAGAAGGGGTGTAAGCAACAGACGGGATGGAGGACACCAGGAAAACAAGGCTGTCTAAATCAACAGTATAAAGCTCATATGAACGCTCAGAGACTGAAGCAATCTACATGGGTCTACATGGTTCTCTCCCAGGTCTTCTGTGCTTATATTATGGTTCCACTTTAGGGTTCTTGTGGGATTCCTGACTGTGTGAAGTAGTAGTCTCTGATTCTTGTGTCCTCTCCTTGTCTTTTTCCTTCTGATTGTCTTGATTAACTGTGATATGACAGGTTTGTTTTATCCTACTGTGTTATATTTTGTTATAATTTGTTGTTATCTCTTAGAATCTCTTATTTGTATTCTAATGAGAGACAGAACAGGAATGGATTTGGATGAGACAGAGGTGGGGAGGAATAGAGGGAGAAGAAAACATAATCAGATATCATATGTAAAAAAATGCCCATTTTAATAAGAAAGAGAAAAGAAAAGTCAAGTGTAATTCTGATAGTTCTACTTTGTATGTTACTTGGCCCTTTCCTTTTCAGGTTTCAATATTCATTCATTTTTCTATATGTTTTGTGTTTTGGTTATCATGTGTTATTTGGAATTTTTGTGGCTCTCTCCATTTGATATTCTGCATCATACCTGTTGCTTTTTAGGTTTATCTTTCTTTAGATTAGGGAAATTTATTTCCATGGTTTTATTAATATTTTCTATGGGTATGACCTGGGTTTCTTCTCCTTCCTCTGTAACTACTATTTGCAGGATTGCTCTTCTTATAGTGTCCCTCTCTCCCTCTCTCTCTCTCTCTCTTCCTTACTTCCTTTCTTTCTATCTTTTTGGTTTTTGTTGAAACAGGGTTTCCTTGCATAATAGCCCTGACTGTCCTGGAATTCATTCTATAGACCAAGGCTGATCTTGAATGGACAAAGATGTGCATGCCTCTGCCTCCTGAGTGCTGGGATAACAGGAGTCCACCACCTCTGTCAACTGGATTTTCTTTTTTAAAAAGATTTAACATTTTTCTCCAACTTAGCTCTCCACCTCTTCTGCCTTGTCTTCAAAATGCAAATTTTCCCTCATTTGATTTTTCAGAAAATCTATTATTGTTACATTATGTTCATTGGTGTTTTACCTGTGTGTGTATCTGTGTGAGGATGTCAGATCCCCTTGAGTTGGAGTTACAGACAGGTGTGAGTTGCCATATGGATCCTGAGAATTGAAGCAAGGTCCTCTATAAGAGTAGCCAGTCCTACTAACCTCTAAGCTGTCAGTCTAGTCTGCATTTTATGTGCTTTTTCATTGTTTATTTACTTGCTTTTACATCCCAGGTTCAGCTGCTAGCCCCTCCGCGCCTCCCTGTACTAAATGGCCCCTTTCCCCTGTACAATGGATCTCTAGATCAAAAATTGATATTTTTACTCCCAAATTTACAACTAAAATTCTAGTGTATACCATTACTCCATTTGTTTGTGATAGTAATGTAAATGTTCTGGGAGTGATGAATAGATTTTGATTGGAAATAAGTCCTCCTTCATTATGTGGGACCAAAATCTGAAACTGTCAAAGTGTCCAAGATTCTGCGACTAAATAGATCCTACACCTACAGGAAAAACTACTACTATTGTTCTTTTAAATGACCATGGGTATAGGTATAAATTGCATCCTAATGACATACTGCTATACCCATACATAGATCAGTGCCTCCCTCAACACACATTGGAGAAGCTTTTTCTTGCAAAATATGGGTATTAACTTGCAGAGCCATGAATGGAAAATGTGCAGAGAGAGAGACCCTTTGGAGCACTCAATCCAAAATGTGAATTATTTATCAGATACTTTTTCAAGGCTCGAGAATGTATGTAGAAGAGGAGAAAAGACTGTAAGGGTGTGAGGTGAGAATGTGACTCAATGGAAAAAGTGTCTTTTGGATAAGGCAGGACCAATACACATGTGAATTCACCAAGACTGTGTCAGCATGCACAACACCTGTACAGGTTCAAGGCAGACTGAGAAAGGGAAATAGACACAGGGTCTTATTACTAACCATGTAGCTATTTGCAATTGATACCTGCTGGTGAAGGGAAAACCAGTTTTGAACAATGGTATGTCACCTGGTATATCAACTACACTCCAGGGTATGCCCCATGCTCCAGAATAGTTAACAAAAATAAAAAAAATCTGAGAGGAGTTGGGGGAAGGGTAAAAAATTCTCAAAATATAGTGTATGGAAAAATACACCGAACAGGAAAAAGAAACAAACAAAGGAACCCTAAATCTAATGCAACATTATGCAAGAAGAAAAATATAAAACAAATCATGAAAAGACAAAAATACAAAACAACCACCCAAACAATGAATATCTTAGAATATGGTGAGACCATGAGCACTAGAGGGGAGCTCCCTCTTCCACTCCTTAAAAACCCTAAGTACAATCTAAGTGCTTATGTTTATATGCATAGATAAGAATATTAGCTCTCAACTTCATCAAAGGAGCTTCTTTTTGCAGCTGGTCAAACTGCTGAGAATAGCTGACTAGGCCCATCCTCAGTGAATACAACTACAACAAAACCCCCATACAAAAGGCTTAGGGAATATATTGAAAGATGGGTCAGGAAGATTGTAAGCTCCAGAGGACCAGGACAGCTAAAATGAAAAAGTGTCTTCTATATGTGATGGGGAAGCTACACCCATAAAATCTAAAAACTATGGTCACATAAATAAGACACCCACAATGACAACTTCAGTAGATATTCAAAATGTGGGTGGTGAATATCTCACAAGACTCAGCACCTAAAAAAAGAGAAAAGAAATCACATGCACACACTCATGCCAATACATGCAACTGTGTACACCAAAAAGAAACAAAGTGCAAAAAAATCAAAACAGTTAATAATATTTCATTCCTATAAGGATGTATTTTATTGTCTCCATTTGATGAAACAGAGAAGAAACTTGATTGTGGTGGTAATTGCATGCATTTACACATATGACACAGTGAAAGAGAGTTGCACACACTGATTGTGCCAGTGTTAGTGTCCTGCTCTTGAAGGGTTATATGGTTGTGTAAAGAGTACAGCAAAATATAATGGGGACAAATTATAAGAAGAATGCTCAATATATTCGCATTCTTCTGTATCTATAATAGTTCGGTGAAGCATAACTATAATGAACCTTAATCAACAAAAAATCAGAAGTCAAACAATGGGGTAAGAACACGGAACATCAGAGATCCTGAGGAGCAGCCACCAGTGACTTCTTACCTCTCAGTATCCTCTGACCAAAAGAGCTGTGAACATGTCTTCACCCCACCTTATCACTTCCTTTCTCCACCTCTCTAGTGATGGGATTAAAGGCTTGAACCACCACAATGTAGCTTCTGTGGTTAAGTAGTAGGGAGCTCTGCCTTCTGATCTCTGGGCAAGCTTGATTTGTCATAACAAAAACAAAACATCAGCCAAAAGCTTTGAAACAAAAATTTCACACACACACACACACACACACACACACAGAGAGAGAGAGAGAGAGAGAGAGAGAGAGAGAGAGAGAGAGAGAGAGAGAGAAACACACTCACACACAGAATTCCACCAGACCTGGTGTTCCTTCTGCCCTCCAGTCAATAAAATGGAACAGAGGCCCTTTTGAAAGCAACAAATAAGGAAGGAAAGAAAAGCCAAAACCTGAGGAGAATATAATGGTTTCTCACCCATAAGAATAGCATATGGGGGGTATAGAAACCCCACTATGTGATTGCCCTTGCCTGGGAGTGTCTAACCCAAAATGTACCAGGAAGGATGCCAAAACTACTAAGGAAAAGAATGCAACATTTCCAGAATAGGTGTGAGTCTCTCCATGTGATGGTGTTATTGTTACAAGACTGGACATATTTACTCCTCATGACCATGCCCCCAAAAGATTTCACCCCAGGGATCGGTTGGTGATGTTGACATTCAGGATCCTGTTGGCTCTGATGGTCTTCTAAGGAGAGTGGCAAGGCCAGAGTTATTCTGTCCATTAGTGGAGCAGCCTTTTAAGCATTCTTTTGCCGTTCTGTTCGCTATGCATGTTGTCATTTTCTAATTTCTGTGTTGTTTCTTGCATAAGATTGGGCTGGGGTGCACACGGGTTGAGTGTCAAGTTACTGAGATCTAGTGTCAGCTTTTCTAAGGAGGGTGAATGAGAGGTTGTTTCTATTCTGGCCCCCGCAGACATTCCGGACGTGTTTCCTGCATACTTCAGGCAGCAGTGACATTCACATTTGAAAGTCTCCTGATCTGCACCTTGAGAGGAAGACAGTTTACTTTTCCTGTCCCTTTGATGGGGTAAGAGTGATCTGACACGTTTCTTTCTCTTGATTTCAGCTAGCTTTGCTTTCTTTTGGGGTGATACTGAACTCTCAGGCTGCTGCTCTTCTTCCATCCTTTCAAAGAAGAAAAGCACATATTACAAACACAAGGGTCAATTGAAAACAGCTTCTGCTGAACACATTCCTGGAGCTTCTACAAACAAGTGCAAATACACATCTCAGAAGGAGACCCTGATGGTTTCAGCAAAGGAAATCTTAGTTTCTAACTAGTTTGTGCAACCATTTTGTTACGGTAAATCTTCCCGCCAAATGCCGCCTGAGCCCCACTGCCACATGTGAGCTTTACGCCAGCTTCCTGCCCGAGTTAGGCCCAAATGAATACAGAAAAACTTGTATTAGATTCAAAGCTGTTTGGCCAATGGCTAGGATTCTCATCTGCTAGCTCAGTCTTAATTATCATACATCTATGTATTTTATAAGACTTATCGGACGCCTTATTGGCATCCCTCCTTGCTGGTGGATCACATCGTGCCACTGAAGGAGCAGGGGAGGGGAAAAGAGGGGCCCTTCCTGTTTCTCCTTTGTTTAAATATGAGTCTCCTTGCTATGTCATTTCCTGCCTGGATAATTGAAGTGGCTTACAGATGAACCAGTTTGGGTAGGACAATAGCCTATGACCTCTGAGAAGCTAGAGGCTTTAGAAAAGTTAGTACAGGAACAACTAGATGCTGGACATATAGAAGAATCTACAAGTCCTTGGAATTCTCCTGTATTTGTTATCAAAAAGAAGTCAGGTAAGTGGAGAATGCGGACAGACCTGAGAGCCATAAATAAGGTAACTCAACCAATGGGCTCTCTGCATCCTGGAATGCCATAGCTTCCTTGATACCTAAAGGATGGCCTATCATAGTTATTGATCTAAAAGACTGTTTTTTCCCAATACCATTACAGGAAAATGATAGAGAAAAATTTGCATTCACTGTACCAACTCTTGCCTGACAGCAATCCCTGGACACCCTGGAAAGAAAATGGGCCACACCTCCTCGACTGCACTGGATCCAACTTGCTCCATTTCAACTGACATTCCTGCCGGAGATTCGGGTACTGACTTCAATCAAGTTGAGGATTTCAAGCGAGATCTTCAATCAAGCAAATCCCATCTAACATGGACTGGATACAATCCATTCAAGGCTTTTACTATACTAACATTTTCTTCCTACAGGATCCCACAAGGCTAATGTCATCCCGTTTCATCAGAAAGTAACTTGGAGGATGCTACGCCCCCTTTCCCCATTGTTGTCACTTAGGATAGTGTATATACCTGGTTAGGGATAGCTTCCTATTATTTATGGTTGGGATTGGAAGGAGGTGTTCAGGCTTGGACACCTCTTTCAGTTGACTTTAGGGTTTAGTTAAAATAGATAGTTAGGATATGACATAAGCAGATTGTTGTATCTTCTTATATTTCACCTTTATGATTGTTAATTTTGGATATATTACACTGTTAAGTTTTAATCCTCTTTTAGACTAAAAGGGGAATTGTAGGGGAAGCTGTAGCCACGCCTACTTAGAGGCTGGCTACAGGTGTGCCTAACCATGCTTGTGAGGGCGTGGTCAGGGTTACATAGAGTGAGACTTTGAGGGGACTGCGTTTTCTCTTTCAGTATCACTTTTGTACTTGTGGTACAGACTGCTGCCATGCCGGCTGCCTAGGTTGCTCTGTAAGTAAGGCTTTTCCCTATTAAATACCCTTATATTTCTACCTGACTCCGTATTGGTAATTTCCCACTATACCATTTTGTTTTGTTTTTTATGGATACCAACACATCCAGAAACAAACAGTGTGCTGTTTGCATCTTTAATATTGGTTTTAGTCCAGTTTTCCTTGTACTTGATTATGTGAGGCACCAGGAGCCCAGGACAGAATTCCTTCAAGTGGGAGTGCACAGATAACTATTTCTTAATGTAAGATGCTGATTTCTTCTGAAGCGATGCTTCACAAATACCCTCTTCTTAAACTTTCCTTTAAGCTCTTACTCCCTGCATTAATGTGATTAAGGGCAGTCCTGTCTAAGTGGATGTCTTTGAGGTTTAATTTTCTACAAACACAGTACTTAACAGGAGTACTTAAGGCCCTAAGAACAGTGCTAGAGTTGCAGTCCCACTTGCTTGGGCAGGAGAACAGAACACATCAAAGAGACCTCCCATAATCCAACACCAAATGATCCATTTCTCCATTAGCCACAGCCACATTAACCAGAGAGGCTTAAATGTATTAGATTCCTGTGCATGATATGTGTGCTCTATGTAACCCACAGCTCAGGCAATACTTTGATAACTCACACACCTTGCTGAGACAAGTAGAATACCTGAGAAAAGTAAAGTGAACAGAAGGAGAAAGCCACTGGGCACAGACTGAGGTTGACCAGGAATGTCCCATGACTTCTGATCTTTTGGCTGCACAGGTCAGATCACGGAGAATGCCTTGGAGAGAGCAGCAAGAAAGGCACAGGTTATTTTCCACATCCCAGAACCCTGTCCATGCAGCTAGTAGCTACAACCTTTCTGGGGACAGAACTGGGTGAGGGGATGGCCAGTGTGGGGTGTCTTCAACACATGCATTGCTATAACAGCTTAGATCTATATAATTCCTAGCTAGGGATGCATCTGTAGAGGCAAGTTTGTGTGCATTGTTGAAAGGTTGGATGCACTGGAGAAAAGCTGAGTGCATGTTGGCAGAGGAACATTTGGCTCTTGGCAAGATCTTTTAACTCTCTGTATTTGATTACCACCACTCCTGGGTGGGGTGTCTTTGAGTGGCAGAACAAGTGTTTTGCACTAGAGGAAATTATTAGGAATGACACAAGGTTTTCTTTGAAACCAATGAAATAACTGGTGTATCATTTGAAAATGTGTGGTCAAATATATGTTACACCAACCCAAACACACAGAGAGAGGGAGGAGGAAGGGAAGCATAGAATATCAAAGCAAAGACCATGTACAGGACTTGTTTGAGTAAATAAGATAGGGTTCCCCAAAGCATATGTAAATCAGTCTGACTATATTGGAGATAGTTATGTTTGCTTGTCCAAACCTTTACAATAGAACTTCCATACAGTCCAGTCATAAGATTCATGGATTCATGGGTGTAATGCAAAGGAATCAAAAGCACCTTACCACAGAGGTAGCTGAATATCCATAGTACTAAGGGAAACCAAATCATGGATTCAGCCTAGGTTCCTGTCATGGACGAATTGATAAGGGAAATGTGGTCCCTACAAATGGCAGTTTCATTGGCTGCAAGGAAGGAGGAAGCTACAGTGTTTGAAGGAAGATGCTGGATTTTGTGTGAAATAAGCCAGGTTTGGGGAGACAAATATTACAGGTCTTCTCACATGAAAGCCGTAGAATCAAAAGTAAGCTAAAAGCCAACAAAAAGGGACAAAAAATTAAATAAAGGAGCACTGGGTCTTTAAGTAGGGATTGGGAAAGGGTAGGAGAAGGGTAACAAAGAGTAGTAAGAGGGGTGAATATAGCCAAATTATATTATGTGCACATAGGGAACTATAAAATTATTAATTCTTTGGTTAGGATACACTAATAGAAACTGAAAAAGAGAAAGCCTCTTTGATGGGTAACTGGCACGCTGTCCTGTCCTCCAAGTATGCTCTCAGGTTATCAAATGTAACAAGTGATTTTTTACTCCTGACCTGAATAAAATGGAGGATGACAACAACTTTTATTTCCCTTGACTCCTAGTACCTAGCACCTGCTGCTTGGAGGGTCATTGGCAGCCTTTTCCCACATACCCTCTGCTCTCTGAATTATACAGAGAGCATACTTCATTCACAGAGAGACCAGCTTTTCCAAATCCCACATACAATCTTTCCTTATATCCCACAGCTTCTGCCTTAGGTTGTAACCACTTCTAGAGTTATCTAACAAGTCCATGTCTTCCCCTGCCTAGCACAGTGTTTTGATGCCCTACCACAGACTATGAAACATTCCTCCATTTCCTATATTCATTACTCCTGTTCTTACTCTTACTCCAGACACCTATACACCTTGAATCCTCTCTGTCTACACTATCTGCTCAGGCAGGACCTTCTCAGTGAAGCTGGCTGGAACACTCTGCTTAACAGTGTGTGCTGGGCCAGAGCTTGGCATGGAGGTGCACAACTATTATCTCAGCACTCTAGAGGCAGAGGCAGGTGGAACTTGGAGTTCCAGCCTAGGGTTGTCTGCAGAGTGAGATCCAGGACAGGCAGGGCTGTGTTGATAAAATAACATTTATCAAAAAAGGAAAGCAAAAATAGGACAACAACAAAAGTGTATTCCCTGGCATGATAAACCTAAGGGTGCAGTATTGACAGACACACATACATTGGGTATAACAACAGCTTTCAATGTAGACTTAGGGCCCAAGTCAAAAGATAGAAATAATGCCTGATACTGGAAAGCTAGCCAAGTATCCACAGCCTGATGAAATCATGAATGTTGCAGGACATTCTACAACTCACCAAACCAGCATAAACCCCAACTACATTCTAACTATATTTCATCATACTTACAGATAAGTCTAGTCCTTAGCCATCACTAAGGAAATGACATTTTGTAACATCCTAACATCAATACAGAAAACCACAACCAATCAAAATGCAGAGTTGTGAAGAAGGTTCTGAACAGATATATCTACAAGAAAACTCCTGTAGTCAAGGCTCAGGGATCATTGTGGAAGAGGGCTCAGAAACATTGTTAGAGCTAGAAGATCAGAGAGTTTTCTGTGAGAATGTATCTCCTAAGAATGTCAGAAGCTACACACATAAAGCCTCACAGAAATGACTGCATAAACAGAGATGAACAAGGATGACCCCAAAATAATGCTAACATGGACATGGTTGTGGGGTGGAGGTAGCAGATGGGGATCATGAAGTATTATACAGGTAGAGACAGCTAAGGAATGCTGAGACCAGGGAATGATACACTTCCCCCCAACAGGTCCACACCCATAGGTTATGTAATACCAAATGATCATCCTTGAAAGTATACCTGCAAATAACATTATACAGACTGGGCAGGTTGTATTGAGGAATATGTATGCACTATGAATACAA